GACCAAAAAAAAAAAAAAAAAAAAAAAAAAAAAAGGTGGTACTGCACGCCTGTAATCCCAGCACTTGGGAGGCTAAACCAGAAGGATTGCTGTGAGTTCGAGGCCAGCCTGGACTACACCATGAGACGCTGAGGCAGGAGGATGGTTGCAGGTTCTGAGACCAGTCCTGGGCTACAAAGCGAACTCAAGCCCAGCCTGAGCTGCATAGTAAGACCCTGTCTCAAAAAGACAGAAAAAAAAAAAAAAAGAAAAGAAACTGTTACCAAGGGGGAAAAAAATAATTCAGCCTGTGAATTATTAACAGCTGTCGGGGCTAGGGATTTAGCTCAGCGGCATAGTGCACCTGCCTGGCAAGTGTGAGGTTGTGAGTTCAATTCCCAGTACTGGGAAAAAAAAGAAAAACAAAAAAAAAACAACCCACAGCATTAATAGTTGTCTGTATTACTCTTAAGGGTAGAGAGACCTCTCTCTCTCTTTTTTTTTTCTCCAGAACTGGGAATTGAACTCAAGGCTGTTGCCATCCCCAGCCCCTCACCCACCCCTTTTAAATTCGGAGACAAGATTTTGTTAAATTGCTAAATTGAATTTGCAGTCTCCCTGCCTCAGCCTCCCGGAGGTTACAGGGGTGTGCGGCCCTGCCCGGCCCTAAAGGGCCCTTTTGCTGAAAAACATTGACCCGTCTTCGCTTGAGCCTTCAGAGGTCTGATGAGTTAGTGAAATGGGATACGAGGGTTGGCACCTGTTTCTTCACATTGTGTGTGCCCCCTTTGCTACCTTAACCCTTGCCTCAGACTCTCCTCAGCTCTGAATGTAGACATGGTGATTATTTTAAAATGCTTTGACCAAGGTTTGAACACAGGCCTACCTTGACCTGTTCCCCTTTGGAGCTGGTATGTATTTCTTTTTCTTTCCCCTCTTTTCTGCCCCCCATCTTGTGCTTCTCCAGAAGCCCTTAGAGCCCGAGCGCCTGTGGCCTTTAGGCTCAGTCACAGGGCTGGGCCTCTGCAGACCAGTATGTGTACAGCAGGAAGATGGACCACGTACACAAACGTTCTCGACACCCTCCAGGAGAAGCCGACCCTGCCACCCAAGCTAAGTCTGCCCCAAGAAGAAACAGTTTTTGGAATCATGCTACTGGCCGATGGGAATGAACCAGACTTTAGCCCCAGCTCCAGCAAATCAAAACCTGTGCACTCCTTGATCGCTGACGAGCAGCTTGATCAATTTCTCCACCAGTTGCTTAGTCTGTTCCCAATTTAGCCAAAGCCCCCTGCCTGTTATAAAGCTTTGCCTGAGCAGAAGTGGGTGTGGTTGCAACGTGTGGTCTAGTCTCATTTCTACCGCATCTGGCCCAAAAGGGCCCAGCGCTGGTATCAGTGGTACAATTTTACATTTCTTCTGCCATCTTCTCACATCTGTCAGATGTGTGCCACACCTGGTGGTTTCCCCCTTCTTTCTGTATGGATGAACTCTGCCAAGGTTATTCAGTCCCCTGTGGATGGACACATAGGTTATTTCCAGTTCTCCCCATCGTACAGTTAACATGGTTGGGGCTATATCATCTTTGCCTAACAGCAGGGTATTTCTAGGGCAAATTTTGGGTTTTCTTTTTCTTTTTTTTTCTTTTTGCAGAGTCTTGCTATGTAGTGCAGATTGGCCTTAAACTCTGTATGTCCCCAAGGGTGGCCTGGAACTCCTGATGCTCCTCCTGCCTCAGCCTCCTGAGTGCTAGCATTACAGGCGTGTGCCACCACGCCCAGCTTCCTAGGGGAAATTTTAAAGGTAGGATTGCCTGCTTAAGGACCATGTACATTTTGCATTTTGAGGGATACCCCTATTTTGGCATTTTTGAAAAGCTATAGGGAGACAGCGTTTGATTTGTGCTTTTGGAAGTGTTGTGCAGCTTTCCTGTGGCTCATGTGGGTTGGGGAGGGCGTGGGGAGGAGGGCGACTCACTCCCCACGATTGGGAGCTGCGCCCGGCAAGGCCACGCAGGCCAGAACCCGCACCTGTCTGCCCTCCGGCTGCTTTCCAGGCAGGGAGTGGGGCGTTGTGGCTGGACTGGGCGAGGTAACCCCTTGTTAGACTCTGCACCTTCCCTAACTGACCTCTCCCGCTCCACCCGGTGAGGACATACCATCCTCAGCCAGAGACATGGCCCCTGGATGGCGCCAACCCTGCCCACCCTGTCTCCCAAGCCTGCCTGCACCGAGCTGCCTTGGAGGCTTCTCACGGCGAAGGGGCCCCTCGACCCCAAACAATCTGTTCAGTGTTTAAGTCCCTGCAGGATGTTTGCAAGAATCATCAGCTTCTAGGTTAAAAATATCCCATGCCCAAGGGGCCCTCGGTGTCTGTCTCAGAACAGGGCTGCCTCACAGATCCTCGATTTCTCCCTTACTGGGGAAATTAACCCTGAGGCCAATTGATTATTTTTTCCCTGACGGTGACCTTTTGTGTGTGTACTGAGGATTGAACCCAGGGCCTGTGCGCTGAGCTATGTTCTCAGCCCTTTATTTATTTATTTATACTGAGAATTGAACTCATGACTTCATACTTGCCAGGCAGGCGCTATGCCGCTGAGCTAAATCTCCAACCCTGTTTTTTATTTTGAGGCAGGATCT